GTCAGAGGCGGACAAGCAGTGGTGGGGAAACGTGGCAGGAGCAGGGAGGAGTGCAGTGCGAATGAGCGGTCAGGGAAGGGCTGGGAGGAGGAGGACGCGGGTCAGTTAGGTAGCAGGGGTGGGGGGGGGTGAGTGAGGCAGGGAACAGGAGCGAGCGTGTGGAAAGGCCCAGGAGTGGGGAAGTAGGAGACATTCGAGAAAGGATTGTCGTGATCGTCCACATGTATCAGGCACTTACTGTGCGCGAGGCAGTCTCTTAACGGTCTTTGTGGTTCCTTGCTGAATCCTCATCAACACCGGATGGTACGCAGGGCTGTCCTGTGTCCATCTGGAGACGAGCGAACAGGCACGGAGTGGCTCAGTGACTTGCCTGGGGACACACAGGGACAGAAAGGATAAAGCAGAGGCTTCATGTGGCTGGAGTGAGGGTCCAGGAGACCAGTGAGAGACGGGGGCCACACAGGCGTTCAGGCCAGGGAGGCCTTCGAGACTCTGTGCCCTCTTGAAAAGTTACGTGCTTTACCTTCTCTGTGCCTCAGTTTCCTCATCTGTGCAACGGGGCTGCTGCGGCATCTGCCTCAGGGGCCGGGGTGAGAGTGAGCGAGGCAGTGCGTGGAAAGAGCCCGGCACGGCTCCTGGCTCCTGTGTGGCAGGTGTAATTCTCAGTGGGCAGTCACTCAGTGGAGCTGTGTGCTGGTGGATGGCAGCTCTCTGGTCTGGCTTCAGATCCCGGCTCCCCGGCCCCCTGGCTGCAAGACCTTGCGTAGGCTTCTGCCCCTCTCAGAGCGGCAGGTTCCTCATCTGTGAAATAGGCTTATTACCCCAGCACTGCGTGAACTTGGCACAACCCTGAACCTTTGGGAGAGCCCCGGCCCCCGACCGGGGAGCGGATGGGCGGAGGGGTCCTCTCAGACTCGGTGGGGTGGCCTGGAGGGTGGACGGGGTGACAGGCCGGCTGGCCGCGAGCGGTCCCTGGTCACCCTCCCCACCCCCAGACTGGCCAGGCTGCCAGCGGGCTCTCCCTCGGCCCTCCCCCGCCCCGCCCGTCGGCCCAGAGCCTTCCCCAAAGTGACCCTCCCACCCGCGTGTTATTAATAGCCACGACAGGGCTCGGATCACTGGCCAAGAATGTTGCCCGGTGGCGCATGGGGGAAGAGGAAGCCGCGGGGCCGGCGGCTGGGGTGGGTGCGGAGTGATGCCCGGGGTACCATGTGGGCCAGGCAGGAGGGCCTTCACCACCCCCACCCCCACACTGTCGTCCGCTGTCCCTCCTCCTCCTCCTCTTCTGTCTCCTGTTCAGGTAAGGGCCCGCCCGGGTGTCCCTGCTCCCTCGGCCCCTTCTTTCTGCTCAGCTTCCCCACGGCCACCCCCACTGGGTGTCAGAGTCCTGAGCAGCTAGGGTCCCATCTCCCTGTGCCTGTGCCTCTCTTGTGGGGGCAGAACCATCCAAAGCCAGGTCCCTACACTCTGCCTGACCTCTCTCTCTCTCTCTCTCTCTCTCTGCCTGATCCTTGGCCTGTCTCCTGCTCTGTCCGAGAGCTGCCTCCACTCGGGTCTGCATCGCCCAGTTGAACTTTTTCCCTTTGGGTCTGTCTGCATTAGTTGTGATGAAAACTTGAAAACGCACAGCCAAAGAGCCCCATTCTTCTTGGGGCTTACTTTCTTCCCCCTTTTGGGCATCCAGAAGAAAACTATTTTTAGTGCATAGTGATGGAGACACGGGCGGCCTGGCTTACTCCGGGCCAGGAGTGGGCGGGTCTGAGCAGGGACAGGGACTCTGGCAGAGCTGATCGGGCGAGCTGGAGGCCCCGGACGTGCTGCTCTGTGGCCCCTTGCTCGTTCCCATTAATTTATGGACCGAACGATCTAGCAGAGCGCAGCAGTGAGTGCAGCTTGTGGGCTCTGACCCTGTGCGGCCCCAGGACCCTGGCCCAGGGTGGTTCCCAACTCCTGGGGGGCTGAACAGTCTAGGTCATCCTCGCTTGCGTGTGTCACCAGCCCATCTGACTTTGCAGGTGACTCGGAGGAGGAGGACATGGGACTCCTGGAGGTCAGCGTTACGGACATCAAGCCCCCGGCCCCGGAGCTGGGCCCCATGCCAGATGGCCTGAGCCCTCAGCAGGTCTGTGGGTAGGGTGGGGTGCCGGGGGTCTTTGGGGGCAAAAGGGGTGGTTGGGGACCCCGCGGGTCTGGGTCTTGAAGGGGAAGGGGTGAGCGGGGCCTCCTGGCCGAGCCTCAGCTCGTTCTCTCCTCACCTGCTGCGCAGACTTCCAGATTGGGCCCAGCAGGTCCCATGCCGTTGTCCCGGGGTGGGGACGGGGGGGCCGGCATTCAGAGCCTTTTCTTCCCACCCCCAGGGTGACGAGAGCAGCTCCTGCTTAATCATTTCACACGGGAGATGTCGTTTGCAGGGAAGACCACAGTGACAGAAGGGTTGGAAAGCATTGAGCTATTCCAACTTGGGAGACTACGGAGGGGCCAGCCCACCCTCTATCTCTGGGCTTCTCCCAGGCGCCGGGGGTCTTTGGGCCATGCCTCCCCTCCCCTGAAGTGTCACATGGGACCAGGACCCGGGGGCTTTGCTCCGGGCCTCAGGCACAGGCATGTTGCCATGAGGCATGAAACGGGGTGGGGTGGGGGTGGGGGGGGGAGACCCCTGCCTTCCCCCGTTGTGGGGACACTAAGCGAGTCGCGTTGGGGCAGCAGGTGCGAAAAAGGATTTGCCCCTCTTTTGGCTGGCAGAGGAGATGCTTGGCCTCTTTTGAAAACCAGGGAGAGGAGATGTGGTGGCCACACCTCACGTCTCAGGACGTGAGTCCATCCGCCTGCTTCCTTCTTTTCTGTTACCCGCCTGGACCCCCCTGCACTGAGGTGGTGACCCCCTGCCCGCGCGCAGCGAGTCCCTGTCAGAGCCAGGCGCGAGCCCAGGCTTCCGGCTCACAGTCCGGGCTGCTCCTGCTGGCATTGGCCGCGTCTCTCTCCTCCGGAGCCTCTTGTGTTTCCCGGTCAGGCAATATGAGTTACTTTGGGCCAGTGGCTCTCAGCCGAGGTGATTTTACCCTCCAGGGGCATTTGGCCGTGTCTGGTGACGTTTGTGGTTGTCGCAACTGGAGGTCCTCCTGGAATCTAGTGGGCGGGGGCCAGGGATGCTGCTGAATGTCCTACAGTGCACAGGACAGTCCCCGACACACAAGAGTCACCCGGCCCCCAGTGTCTACGTGCTGTGGTCAAGAACTCTGCTCTGGGAACAGCTTGGGCACCTGGGGATCGGTGACCGTGACAGTGCATCTGGCTGTGGGGCGGCCTGAAGGACAGTGGGCCTGGCCCATCCTGCGGCCCTGGGGCTGTGCGGGCCGTAGTCAGGCCTGGGTCCCAGGCGGGGCCGTGGGAATTGCTGACAGAGGTGTGCCAGGCGGGAAGGAGGTGTCCAGAGGGGCAGGGGGAGATGTTAGTGGCTGGATCGATGCCCAGGACGGCTGTGGGGGTACAGTGGAATTACCTGGGATGCTCTCACCACCCCCTCCCCCCCGCCCCGCCCATACCCAGGTAGTGCCCTATACCGACTCAGTCGGAATGTCTGGGGAAGCAGCTAGGTGACAGTATTTTAAAGACGCCCATGTGATTCTACTGTGCAGCAGGGTTTGCTTATGCACCTGCTCCCTCTGTGCTGTGGACCCAGGCAAGGGCTCCCAGCCTCTTGCTGGCCAGGCTGCACCTGAGGGGTGTGTTGATGTGGGCCGAGGAGAGAAGGGGCCAGCGAGAGGGGGGCTGGGAGGGACTGGGCTGTTTGGCCTGCGGTGGAGCTCACCCGGTGGGGTGGAGAGTACCCTGAGGGATCCCGTCTGAGGGAGGGGGGTTGGTTAAGGGGTTGGAGCTACGAAGGGTGGGAGCTGAGATCTCTGTTCCGTCCAAGAAAGAATTTTCTCCCCCATTTGTCCCAGGATGTGGGAGGCCACCTGACCCCTTGGAGGAGGGGTGGTGACTCCCTATGCCTGGATGTACGCGAGGAGCGGCCTGGCGGGGGCCTCGAGCCCAGCACCCCACACCCCCCATCTGTAGGCGGGGCTCTGGAGGGCAATGCTGGCCTGCGGGCCCCGGTGGTCCCAGGAGCGGGCTCTGGGAGGGACGAGTCCCTTCCGTCCTGCAGCCCCTCAGCTCTTCTGGCACCAGGACTCCTTATCGGCCCCCTGGGGCCTCTGCACACATCGGGTGCTCCCTCTGTGCTATGGCGGGTGCGGCCACTGACTGTGTTTTCTGGCCCGGGCAGGTGGTCCGGAGGCACATCCTGGGCTCCATCGTGCAGAGTGAAGGTAGCTACGTGGAGTCTTTGAAGCGGGTACTCCAGGTACGACTCCGGGGGCCTCTGGGGACACTTTGTAAGGAGGGTTCGTAGGGAGGTTATGGGCAGTTTTAAGGGGAAGGGGCCACAGGCCAGCACTTTTATGGGGACAGCAAGCGTTCCTGATGCCTGGGAGTTGGCAGGAAGACTGCATTTCTGAACCAGAGTCGCGGGTCTGTGAAGTGAGGTGTGCCCTCTAGAGTAGAGGGCGTGTGGACCCTTCTGTGCCTGGAAGGGACCGTGCTTTCCTCACCAGTCCGGGAGCCCTGGGCCAGGGGCCACGTCTCCCATCATCTGGGATCATCCTGGGCGCCC